TTCTGAGGGACAAGGTACCAAATGGCCAGCTGGTTTCACCACACTTGTGCACTGCTGTGGAGAGTGGGTGGTTTGTCTTAGTTGAGTGTTTGTATTTTATTTTCATGTCTACATTTTTCCCATTTCCTTGTCTTTTCTCTCAGCTGGACCACCTGTGTTTGTCAGGTGTGGTGAGAGAAAACTCCCTGCCCCTCCTTGCCCCACAAGAGTCACTGCTACAAGGGGCCTTCAGGAATGTTGGGCTTACTATCAAAAGCTCATTCTTCCCAAGAGTGTTTTTGTTCTCTGTACTAAGGATGCAGACCTTTTTGTCACTCAGTGTTAAGATAAATAGGCAGTTCCTAGCAAGTCAGACATCACTGCTTGGTTCTGGGTCTAACCTGTGCCACCTCATCTCATTCCCAATGCAACACCAAGCCTTGGCATCTATTCCTCATGTTCATGGTGATTCCACCCAGTGCTGTATTGGCAAGTACTTTCCCCAGCCAAACCTATCTTCTCCAAAATTAAATRGCGCAGAATTTTTCTTTAAAGTGCCTGGATTTCAGCAGAAAGCTAATTTCTTCTTTCTAGGTGAAGAAGCTAAGGCMCTGCTTCTTTTAGTAAGCTATATATTCTGATTGCTCTCTACATGGTTTTCAATTATTTGGAAAATAGGCTGCTTCTAAAAGTATAAAGGGTAAATACTGCTAAATGGAAGAGGGTTTAGCCTTCCTTAGCAAGTTAGCTGAAGTTTTACTTCACTATATATCAGTTTCAACAGTAAATCCTTAGCACCTGACAACAACTCTCTACTGCATTCAGCAGTGTCAAGACCTGGGGTAATCTCTTATCTTCTTTATTTTTACCAGGTAAGAGATTCAGAATGTAATCTGTTCTCATGCAAGAATAAGTGCAGAAGGGAAAATTATGAACTCCAACTTACTACTTTTCTTATTTTCATGTATTTTCATAATGTGTTAAAACACATGACTGATCTCTTCTGTGTGGTGACCAGTGACAGGACCCAAGGCAATGGTCTCCAGTTGTATCAGGAGGAGTTTAGGTTGTGTATCAGGAAAAGATTCTTCACTCAGAGGGTGGTGGGCCCTGGAACAGGCTTCCCAGGGAAGGGGACAGCACCAAGGGTGACAGAGCTCCAGAAGGATTTGGACAGCACTCTGGACACATGGTGTGACTCTGGGCATGTCCTGTGCAGGGCCAGGAGTYRGACTCCCTGATCATTGTGGGTCCCTTCCAATTCAGGATATTCTGTGATTCTGTGAAATGTCTTGCACATCATGCCATGTGCACATCTCTTTTCTAAACCCCAGTCCAAACCAAATTACAACACAATTCTCTTTTCCTGGGGTGGAGAAGGTAATGCACATGGAGCAGTTTGTAAATCACTGTGCATTGGACTCTGGTTGTCTGTCATATGGTAAGCTGCAAATAAGTTTGCTTTGGGAAAGAAAAAGGTTTTGGCAACAGCATGACTGGATTTTCTCTACAAGCTTGTTATCTTGCATGAAGCACCTGAAAATTCCTGGAAGTGGTTACYTGAGAATTTCAACCTCTTTGAAACAAGCTGAGATAAAATACATGTGTACTGCAATGCTGACATCTAGATGTGACTTAGGCTTTTTTAAGGCAATATATACACAGTCCAGCTAACTTACMTGAGCTGTGATAAACCCAGATGATTGCAAGGGCATGGACAGGAAAATAATTCAGAACACCTCTTCCTAAGATTTTTGGAAGAGTCATGAATTAACATGTAAAGCTCTTTCTTTTTCCACTTYTTAGGTAAAGGTGGGCTCCTTTAGAAGTCATCTGTCTTCCACTGAATTACTGAAGTAGCTGTATCTGCAGACTGACAGTTTCTGCTCTTCTTTTCCTGAACTTTCCCTTCTCTGCTGTGTGTGGTACTTTTGTAGTAAGGAACCACACACATTCATTAGGATTGTAACTTAATTTAGATGAACGACAGCAGAAAGGTTGTGCAAAGTTCTTTGAAAGCAATGAACGTTTTGACTCTTTTTTTTTTTTTTATCTCTTAACAGAAAAAAATGTTGCCAGAACAACTGACTCCTACATCTCCTGCTCCTCAGTCATCTCCTGAGGGGGACAATGGCACTCTGCAGATACTTAAAGATGGACTGAGTTTGTCTGGTGCMACTGCAGCAGTTATATCCACAGGTAAAAGCCAAAGAAAAAACWGTGTGTGAAAGGGCTTCTGTGTCAAGCAGTTTCATTTTGTGGAAAATGTACTGCAAGCTTATTACTGTAAATCATTTTCCAGCTGTCTTATTTTTCAAATATATTTGTAGGAGCCAGAGTTACTTTTCAGAACTAGTATTTTGACACCCAYGTTATAGCAATAAGTGCTGAGGCACAAGGACTTTGGATGGATCTGCTAGACCTGGCAGTGTGCTGCTGTGTGAAGAAGGAAACTGTACAGTTCTTTTATGTCTGTCCCACTTCTTAATGTATGAAATGGGAATAGATGCAGCTAAAATATGATATTCTGATATAATTCAAGCTGTACTGTAATATAACAAAATGGAGATTTTATCTCTATATAGCCTTACATGAAAAGAAGCAACTCTATTAAAACCCAGTAGAGGCAATCAGAGGGAATACATTCCTCTTTCCCCACATTTGCTTTTTTTTTGTCTCTAAATATAGTGAAATGTGTCTTGAAAAGGGTTGGCAGAAAAGAAATAAGCTAGTAAATGAACTAAGCYATTAAGGAACTGGTAACCCTGTAGTAAAACAAATTGTATATTGTCAGCCGAAATCTCAGAAYTTTCTAAAAACGCCATAAATTACAATAATTTTGTTTGGGATACTTTTTTTTTTACATTTAAAATCTGTTTTTACAGTTGAAGTTGTCAGGCTCTTCTCCCTCCAAGTTTCAGTCATGGACAAGGGAAAAACATATACTTTTTTCTTACAAAAATAAACCTTGTGCAAGGCAGTTGTTGTTGAGCCCAGACAGAAATGCCATACTATTATTGTTGATTTGTAGCTTTGTTTATTTGTACAAATAGATTTACTTCAATTTTCAGACATCAGAGTAAACAGATACGCACAAAGACATTACAATTAAAACTCTTGCAGAAATACTTTATTTTTAAAAGTTCAGGGTTCTTAATCTAAACCCAAATCAAACTACGGTTCAGAAAATATGTCAGTCTTTTGAGTAATAGAATATTTAGATTGCTTAATCACCACGGAGGCACATTTTTTCATTAAGCTGTAATAATGTCTTGGTTGCATTCTTGGTCATGCGGCAWCCAGGATGAACAAGGAAAGAAAAATCATCAGTTACATTTTTCTCATGTTTTSTGCCTTGGCAGTTGTTTTGGAAGACAGTTTCACATCGTCTCTTTAAAAAGTACTTTTGTAGGACAGAAGTCCTGTATGATTGTTTGGAGCTTTAAACCACGTKACTGTGTTTGTGAAGAAGTGTTTATTTAGCAGACAAGGCCACATTGCAGTTTGGAAATGCTCTGAGTGATTTGGGCATTCTGAAGGTGCAGACCTTCGGTGGCCACTCTGTGTGTATCATGTCTTGTGTGATGTTATGTTAATGCCATATGGGGGCTTCAGAATGAGCAGCAGTGGCAGGTATATAACATGGAGTTCTCTTTGTGGCAGCTTCTCAAATAGGAAAAAATGGAGGCAGWAACTTGGTAAGACCAGCTTTGTAGAATTGTGACTTGGTAGTTTAGAGTACCTGCCACTAATTTGTACTTTATTGGAACTAGTGTATGAGCAGAGATTAGTCAACACTGGTCATTTCAGTTTTGTTACATTAGTGAGGTAGAGGAGGGCTTCAGAAAGCAGAAAAAAAAAAAGTGAGTTTAGGATTCAGGCAGGAGAACCTTGGCAGAATTGCTCTTGATGCATGCTCTGAAAGTACATGTACATGCTCAGCTTCTTGAGTTGACCAGTGTATCTTTTCTGCAGGATTAAAACTAGAATGATAATTTGCCGTTCTGACTTGGAAACATGTCTTGGTTCCTTGGCAGTAAGTATGTCTTGTACCTTTTCAGTGTGTGTTTATGTGAACAAACATGGGAATTCTGGGCCTCACCTGGACAAGAAGAAGGTTCAGCAGCTTCCAGATCACTTTGGACCMGGTCCTGTCAATGTGGTCCTTCAGCAGGCAGTACAGGCTTGTGTGGATTGTGCCTAYCAAGCCAAAACAGTCTTTGGATTTCTGAAATCTGGCCACCATGGAGGGGAAATGATAACTGGTACGTGAAGATGCTCTGTTTCTTTTGTTTCTTCACTTGGTGAGCTTCAGGTAGGGCAGAAGAACTGAAGTAACTGCAACAATTTGATATCACTTTTGTAGCAGTGTAAACACTGGTGTGAACACTGATGTGTGATGTACCTTACTCTGAGTCCACAGTGATTTGAACAATTCGTTAAATTTAAATTCAGTATTAGCAGTRTTTAAATTCCATATGCACTATACAGTTAGTTTCTTACACTAAGTAGAGCTGGTGCATCTTTTTTAGCAGCTGTAGCAAAACATTTGTCAAGTAAACTCCCTACAAGTGAAATAATCAGCTTTATTAGTTCAAGTCATTCGCATAATCTTATCCATGCATGGTGTTTGTGTTCTTAAAGCATGAACCAAGTGGGTGACAAGTCTCAAACTAATCTGTTTGGCTTCCAGGCAAGTGATTCCACATGTTAAAGTTGCTGCTGCTTTCCTTACTCAATTCCCCACAACTGCAGCAGTGTCTTCRGTCACTCTTCATGCACCTATTATGGGATAGATTGATTTCTATTACATATTGATGGCAGATCTGTAGATAAATTATCTCTATGTCTCAATCTTGAGCTAGATAGCTGCTGCTTGACATTTTTTTCCTTCTAGGCTAGGAAATACTCTATATATAACAGCACACCAATTCATAATTCCATCAGTGGCATTACTTTAATCTCTTTAACACCAGATGTGAAAGATTATTMGTGGAATAGGGTTCAATTAAGTGCTTATGAAGATGTTGCTGTCTAACTGTATTTAAAAAGCAGCTCCCCAGACTGTGTATGGCAGAACCACAGTAAGCCATGCTTARGCAACCCCCTGAGTTTGTGCACAAAATGGATGCTGTTTCTGTGCTGTGTAGCARAGGTTTAATGGCATTGTATATATCTGGTTTTGAAATGAATAGTGCTTTATTTTTTCAATCTACATGAAGGTTTATTATATTAATAATACCTCACTGTACCTATTTCAGACAAGTCAGTTTTCCAGAGCAAAATGAATGCACTGAGATGTTCATTGCCATCAGTTTGTGATTGTTTATCATGAAGGACTAAATCACAGGCCAGTGGCGTCTCTGGGCTGTGACTGAGTCGTTGAAAATAAAAACTTCTAACAGGAGAGAGAAATGTCAGGTTCCTTATGTTGTGACCTGTTTGCATTTTAAAAATTCTTTCCAAAAAGGAGTTACTTTTCAGCATTGGCTTCCCCCCAGGGCCTGTGTTCTGGGTTTTTGGAGCCTGGCCATGGGGGCTGCTCAGAAGTCAAGTCCTGCTCTGGCTGATGGTGAACCWCAAGGCTCCGTGGGTTTCTCTGTTCCTGAGCTCTTCCCTTCTCCTTGACTTGTCAGACAGTGGCTGCAAAGTGGCTGAGCAAACACTCCTTGTCATTTTAACAAAAATTTGTGTGTGATCTATTTTTGTGAAGTGTAAAATACAACTTAGATTAATGTAGCACATTGCATCTAGCTGTACATGTGAACAGTAAGGAAATAGAGGGAAGCAACAGTAGAATAAAATAAGGAATTACAGAATTAAATTTTCTTGTTGCCTTTTTGTTTTAAAGTGGGTTTGGAGGGTGGCTTGTTTTTCAGGTTTTGTTTGGGTTTTTTTTTAGGCTGTCAAGAAAAAAAAATGTGGCAGAGAAGTAAAGAAATCTGCATCTTTTGTAAATATCTGTTTTTATAGAAAGTATTTCACCTCCTGCAGGAGGAAACTGTGCTGATGAATATATGGATGAAATAATCTTTCTAGAATACATGGAATAGTTAATGGGTTCTTTTGGTTCAGCTGCCAAAGAAAAATATTACTTTGGATAAAATTAAATTTAGGATTTTTCTATCCTTTCTCAAACAAAGGCACAAACKATTTTATTTTTGCCTAATGCATAAAATTTCAATTCAGGCAAATATAACTGAAAGGAAATTAAAGGCTTGATTTGGAAGCCCACTAATGATAGTGGTGTCAGCCCCTTTATTCTCCTTGTAGCAGAGGCCAGTGGAGGGATGAAATAGATAGAGGCTCAGATAAATTTTCTCAAGCAGAGAATTAAAATCAGATTCTTGGGTGAGTTTCATCACTATCAGAAAAGAATATTTCTCTGATAGTTTTGTTCTGAATCTTTCTCCCAGCGTGAACCTGGAATGTAAAATATTGTTAAAGAATGGAAGGTGAATAAATGAGTGTGACTCTTCATCCTGAGGGCTGGAGTGGCACATCCAGCTCCAGTCCCTTTTATATCCCGTTAAAGGCTGAGGTTATTGCACCTCGCAGCTACTCCTTTTGATTTTCTCCCCTCGTGTTTGTCTGCAGGTGAGATGCTTGTGCTGTCCCCAGCAGAGTGGACAGTTGAGTCTGTGCATGTGCATCCCACACCTTGGCTGCAGTTTGCAGTTTGTGTGGCTGCTCTCAGGTGTGGAGTGTCCAGGGGAGCAGTGTTTGCACCGAATCTTTATTTGTGGATTGCTCTCATGGAATGTTCTGATGGGGCAGTCACAACGCCTCAGCTGTTTCTTGCTTTATCCTCCTGAGAACTCTTACATAACATTGTTCTTTTCAGTGATTCTTTTCAAAATGAGAAATTAAGTGGTATAGAAKAAATCATTTCCCCGAAGGCCATACAGGAGGATCCATAAGGCTATTACAGAGCATTTTAAATTTCTGCTGTAGCTGACACCACCTTGCAGTAAATTTGTCAGGAGCTCAGGCTCTGCAAGGTCTCACAGCCCATTTGCTCTCCAGAACTGGTTGAGTTCCAAACAGAAATTTGCCTTTGGAGACCCCTTCCCCAAGCAGGACGTAGAGGAGTTGTGTCTGAGCCACASGTGGGACTGTTCATCATCAGCATTTCCTTTGGACACTGAGCCTGGAAACAGCCTGAGAGGCCACGGAAACATTTCAGTGCTGTAGTGCTGACTGCTGAACTTGCAGCTCTTGCACTGGTCAGGGTGTCATGAGAGCACATGGGACAGGCAGTGTGGTGTTGCTGATGCTGGCTGATAACTCACTTTAATCAGAAGCTTCCTTACATCAACAGTGGAAGTCATTGAAACTTCACATTTCCTAAGGAAGCCTAAAAATGCGCTAGACTTAGGCATTTTCTTTCGTTTTGTGTATATTATCTGTCTTTTTTGTAACACAATATGGAAATATTCCTTCATTCAGTTCTGTGAATAAAGGCTTTCTTGTCATTTCTAGCTTTTTTTTCTTTTTCTTTTTTTTTTTTTAAGCATCTGCTACCAACAAAATGTGATCCTTTAAAGCTCTGCTTATCATTTGAAACCTACGTTAACAACAGAAAGCTGCATGACAGGCTGAAAACCAAAAAGACAAATTGATGCATAAACCTGGTGTTTATGCCACTTCTTTTCAGCCCTAAACTTAAGTTACATGTTTGTTCCTGCTTTGTTCTAAAGTCTTTCTAATCAGAGGTAACTCAGAGTTTTAGCTGACAGAATGGCAATCATCCTTGTTTCTGTGTACTGAATCTTTACTGCTTACCATCCATGTATCTATATTATTGTGTCCTTACTAACCTTTACTAATTCTCACAAAAAACAAAATTATCCTCAGCTGCCACACTGTGTGAGGGGCAAGGAGAGAGGTCAACAAGGAGAAGACACAGGCACATGTCCAGGCTCTTGAAATCATCCCATTCCAGATCTGTTTGTGGCTGTTGTGGTGGCTCTGCCACCTCAGTCCTGCTGAAATAAATGAGAGTTGACCACTGTAGTGTTGACAGCAGGACAGATTTCTCCAGTGATAAAATAGCAAATGGCAAAACAATTTCTGAGTCACAATTTCAATGGTCATGGATGCCAGCACCTCACCACAAGTATTCTCCATTCAGTTAGAAATTGAGAAAAAAAAAGTACTAAAATTGTTTGTTTCATGTCTTCAGAGTTTTGGGGGGGCTTGGTTTTTTGAGGKTTTTTTTGCTTGTTTTATTTGTTTTGGGTTTTTTGGGTTATTTTTCTTGTTGGTTTACTTTAAATAATTGTTTGGGCTTTTTGTTGATTTTTGGGGTATTTTGGGGGGGGTTTTAGCAAGTATTGTAAARGGAGTTTTTTGTGCTATCTCCTGCAAATAGGTGATGGAGAGCTTGCTGCTTTATAAGTGATGGAAATTATAAAGTTTTGGTGGTGAGGGAGTAGTTGTGAGTTTTGTTATAYAGGTGCGAATCCAAAATTATTTTATTAAAATAAGTTCCCATAGAGTGAATTTAAACTGACATGGATCCAGTGGAAGGTAAAATCAATTGTTTGGATATAAATTTTTTAAACTATGAGAATGATTGTTTACTCCTCTCATGTCTTGCATGGTTTAAATCGAGTCTGGATGTCTTCTGCTTTARGTTAATGATGGTATTTTACTATACTTCATGATGCTTGGGGGTGTTTGACATAATCTCCTTCTTCACAGCTTCCTTTGATGGGGARAAGCATGCCATCAATCTTCCTTCTGTAAACAGTGCATCATTTGTCTTACGCTTCTTGGAGAAGCTGTGCCACAGTCTGCAGTGTGATAATCTGTTCAGCAGCCAGCCCTTCAGCCCTTACAGGGGCTGTGCACACAGTCCCATGGAATATGAGAGGAATAAGCCAGGTAATCACTTGTTCTTTTCAAGTGCTGATACTTTGGAGAAATGTGGTGACTTTATGAAATGCAACATTTTAGTCTATCTTTCTGTGACATTAATTGTTTGAAATTAATACACATCACTTCAAAGTGAGTTGGTTCCAGTGTGGAAGTGCTTTGACAGTAAGGGAAAGCTCATACCACATGTGCAGAAATAATTTTGTTCAGCAAACTTCTCCTTGCAGGCAAGCCAGAAAACATATGTGCTTTGCCCCTGTGATACTGCTGAAAAGACAAACTCAAAACTTCACATCTCATTTGTTAAATTTATGTTTAGCTTATAAAATAAACTTACTAAAAGATGCTTGCTGCCTGTGAGAAGGGTCTTGCCCTGRAAGGGGATTCAGTCTAACCCTTCCAACACAATTAAAAGGTCTTTCTTTCCTTTCTCTTTTCACCTTACTCAGGGGGGGTCAAAACATTTTCCATTCTACTGTATACAGTCCTGTCATCTAATAGAAACRCTTGTGAAACTGGCTGCTTGTGAAATTTTGTCTGAATCCAGTACCTTTGCTGCATCAGGAATGTAGAGTGAGAATGAGGGGAGATGGAATTACTTGCCCAAAGTCTCCCAACAGGTTGTTTTTAAGACCTGGTATTACAAGTTCCAGCTCAAGATTCACCAGTCACAGCTGAGACAGCCTTGTTGTCAGGATAATTTCAGAAGGTTTMTAGTGGGAATGAAGCTTCATCAAAGCTGTTTGATGGCTGAGTCCTGTTTTCRAGGTGCTGCTTTAGAAAGTGGCTTTTCCTCTTTCCAATGGAAAATTATGTTTATAATTCTGTCATATGCAAGTCATTACTTTTAACTATTCAGGAAAGTAGACAGGGTCAAGCTAATTCAACTATGAAATTTTGTATTGAAGTGACTGAGTCTGTGTGACACAAGGAACAGAACTCTAAGCTGGTGGATGGCTGGTGTCTGTCTTTTGCTCTGTCCCTGGACTTTGCCCATGAGCAGCTTTATTCTATATACTAGAATAACAGGTGGTGACTTTTCCTCTTCACAGCCAAAGAAGAAATACCTGAAAACAGGAGAGCTAAACGATACTGTCAGGACTCTCCACCATATACTGCTCCTCTTTCTCCTAAGCTTCCCAGAAATGATGCTCATCCATCTGAAGGTAATTACATCATGTCAGAATTATCTATGAGGATTATTTATGGTTTCAGTATTTCCAGTCCAGAAGGACTGAGTACGCCATATGTGTCTGGTTCGTCTCTAGCCTTTGRCAGGTCAGGGTGGAAGTGTGTTAATTATTGATCACTGGCACAGATTTTGCACAGAAGGAGGATCTACTGAAAGTTCCAGCAGTGCTTCTCCTAAACCAGCAGCTTTTCTGTGAAGGAGCTCAGGCACAGTGTCAGATAAGAGATGAAGCCTCCTGCTTCATGCAGGGCTGCTGAGCAGAAAACCAATTCCCTTGAAATGRGTTAGGAGTTAAATTGGAAGCAGCTCCTAACTCTGGGCTGGGTTCATGATGTGAGYAAGGATGCAGCCTGATGATCCAGTTCAGCTGAGTTTGTGGCTGTCTGCCAGCAGAGGTTGGGCTGATTCTGCTTTCCTGGCCCATCCCCTGCTCCTTCTCCCCGGCTGGTTAGTGAGCAAAAGCACAGGAAACATTCTGGTGAAGAGTCTTGGTTTACTGCTCTGCAGTGCCTGTTGGACGTGGATGAGCCCAGGGAAGGGTTGATGGAAGGCAGCAGGGCCAGGGAGCAGTTGGGCTCTCTGTGGCACCTCACTCTTAGGTTGCTGGAGTTCATTAATAAACAGCACTGTCTCCTGTGCTGCAGCTCAGCTCCAGTAACTGAGCACGGGTCTGGTCTTAGTCTGCCTCAGATGAGAAGTAAATCATCTAGGTTTGAATGGCAGTGAGAGACACAGCAAAATAGTTGCATTTTTTACTCGGTATTTGCTGTTTAACTGGTTAAGCCATGGTAAGTTGATGATACTGACTTATCCCATCCGATACATATTTCTCTTGCAGCAAGATATTTGCACATCATTTTCAAAGGCTTTTATGAAGTATGATGGGGATTAGTTATTTTTTCCCTTCTTTTTTCCTTTTCTTTTCTTTTTTTTTTTTTTTTTTTAATCTTGGAATGATTTTGTATCTATTAGCATGAGTGGAGGCAGAATGTTTTTTCTGTTCATGTTAAAAAAGAGAAGAGACTACAGAAGACTACATTTAAAGCAGAAAAGGATATAAAATTAAAATGTTTTGACTRATAGTTTATATAAAATTATGCATCTTATTATTTTGTGTATATATGCTTAGTTACATCTTTATATTTCCTGTGGCTGTTACTATATACCATTCTGCATTGATTATCGATATCTGTGTCTTCCCAAAAGAAGCACAGGTATCTCTTCATTCTAGAGATAGATTGTACACCTAAGTCAGGTTTCTGGTACTAACTTAATAAGTGTGGGCACCTAATTGCACTCAAATGAAGTTGTTTCATTTGAGCAAAACAAATGTTGAAGTGGATCTGCATTATCTAAGAAGCCTTATTCMAGTAAACATGAGTGCACATACTGTTTTTTATTCCTTGTTTGCTAGTGGGTCTTTTACAGATGGAGTCAGTATAGCCTCGTAAAAGCAGTTACTTGAATAAAAAATAATTAAAATAAGTGTTTTTCCATGGCTTCAGAGGTTTGAATTTGTACTCTGTGCATTTCAAKAGGCAAAGTGTTCTCCAGTGTTGTGTGTTTCCTATTAGGGCAATATCCTCTGCTGAAAATCTGGAGGCAATTTTGTRGTGGTCAGTCATGGGCTGGTTAACAAGAAAGATCTGCCCCCAAAAAGTTCTGGTTCCATTGAGACACAGTTGTCTTGTGATAATTGTTTTAAAATACCGTTTGAAGGCAAAATGGAGTAATTGTGGGAAATGGTCTTTCAAACAGCTCCTTTTCTTCCTGATCTGTTCAGGGAYACGCTTTGCAGATTTTGCTGCCTTTCTTGCTCACTGACAGTTTCTTCTTAAAGTTATGAAAGATAAAGGAGGAGGGAATGGGGGAATAACTCAGACTCCCTTGCCCTGAAAACAGTGTGTTCCTACTACTGTGTCCAGTGACATCATTTCGTTATGTATGAGACAGAATAACTGTTTCCAATTCCCAGAAGAGCCTCAAGAAAACAAAACATCCAGTTCCTGCTGAGCCTTCAGTGCCTGCTCAGTCTGCTCTCATCCCTGCATTTGCAACTTAAGGGCTTTTTGTAACCTTTCATTAATCTAGCCAGAGTCAGGTATTGTGCAGTGGAACCTCCCTCTCTTTCCATACCTGTGTTATTCAGAATGCTGAGGTCGGGGGACTGTGTCACTCCGTGGAGTGCACTGCTCCATTTGCTGGATGCCAATTTTGCTGCATTTGGTTTTTGGAGAAGCTGGCTGCTTGGAATGGAACGTGGACTGAATACTATAGTTGCTGAACAGAAGCACCTTCCCTGAAAAGTTATGGAAAATAGGCCAGTTTTTCCACCTTGTGTATACAAGTTTAGAATTTACAGTAAGATAAATTCAAATGCTGGTATCTTGGGGAAGAGAAGCAGAGTTGATCTTTCCTAAACCTAGGGTTCACTTTAGGGTATATAACATCAGAGAGAAATCTGAGATATMATTGTAATAAAACAATAAAGTTATTTTGTGATGCAGTCAGTTTTTTACATCTTTTTGTCTTCAGAAATCCTTACAAAGATCATATAAACCAGTTATTAAGAAAAAATTAAATCCAACCTGTATCCATTCCTGGTAGTTTACTATAAAAACTTTAAAAAAAATTTTTTTTAATATGTTACATGGAGTTAACTGATACATGCTTGRAAACTCCAGTTGAAACTCTGTGCTGGGGAGTGATGTGTCCATTATTTCATCCTGCCTTTCAAGACTTCTGMAATCTGAATCTCCAGGTTCAGCCAGTTAAACCTGGCTCTTCATACAGCTTTGCTGGAACAATTTCAGGTATCCCCTGTGCCTTTTGGCCTTGGACTCAGATGTGGTTTCAKTCTCTACAGCTCTAATTTTCCCTTGGTTGGCTACTTTTTAATTTGATAGTGTGCATCATTGACTTCATTTCTTAAAGTCTCTCTGAAATTCTATAGAATTAYATAGCTTTTGTTTTTAATTTTGAAAAGTTGTTGTAAGTACTTCTGAGAAATATAAAGGCATTTATTTTCTTGTTTGTTTTCTTTCAAAACCGCAAGTAGCTTCTTATGATTCAAGTCTGACAAACTAGAAAGTTTTGCAGTGGTTATTTTGAAGKTTATTTATCTGAAAGAGAAGGACTTGTATCCATAAAAGCTTCTTTATTCCATGGCTATCAAATTTAGTATAAGATGTTACATCACCTTGCAGATAAAGAGTCCAGGAAGGCTGRACATTGTTGGAGAAGGAAATGTTGAAGGTACAGGAGCAGGCTGTCCTCACTTGCTGAAAGACAAGTCCTGGCTGAACAGAGAGGTTTGGCTGGAGCTCAGGAAAAAAAAGGGACCTTTGGAAGAAGGGGAAGGAAAATCAGAAGGACTACAAGAATACCATTAGGTTATTCAAGGAGAAAATTAGTAGGGATAAATCCCAAATAAATCCCAACTTAATCTGGCTACTGCCATAAAAAAGCCCAGAAAATGTTTGTCTCGTTTTTATCCACAGCCAGGGGAAGGCTGAGGAGAATCTCCAGCCTAAAGGCTGGAATGACACAGACTGGCAAAGTTTGAGGAAGGCTGAAGTTCTTCATGCCCCCTTTTTCTCCTTAGTCTTTAGGACTAAGTACTTTAGTACTAAGAGCAGTTGCTCTCCACGTCCCCAGCCTCCTGAACTGAAAGGTAGGGATGGGAAGCAGATTGAAGCTCACATAATCCAAGGGAAAATGGTCAGCCCTTAGGACATGCACAAGTCTCTGGGACCATGCAGGATCAGCCTAGGGCTACTGAAGGAGCTGTGGAAGTGCTCACTGAGCTGCTTTCACCTTATTTTTCTCTACAATTATGTGAAAAGAGAATATTGGGAGATGGGGGTTCATATCTTCTCCCAAGTGACACATGATAGGACAAGAGGAAATGGCATCAAGTGGCACATGGAGAAGTTTAGATTGGGTATTAGGAAAAATTTCTTGACTGAAAAGCTTTTCAAGCATTGGAAAGGGCTGCCCAGGGTTGAATCACCATCCGTGGGTGTATTTAAAAGATGTGCAGATGTGGCTTAGTGCTGAACACAGTGGCGCTGGGTTAACGATGATCTCCGTGCTCTTTTCCAGCCTGAATGATTCTGTGGTTCCATTCTGTGGTTCCATTCTGTGATTCTGTAGTCTTGCCTTACCAATTTCACTAAGCAGGGAGCTGCCTCTCTGAGTGCCTTTAGTTCCCTTTCAGGATGTACTGGGTGAAGGTCAGAATACATCTCACAGTGTACACTGTACTACACTGTAAACAGGRTTCAGAAACAGAACCTGAGACCTCATGAAGAAAGTTGAAAGCATGCTTGAGACACTCACTGGGTTTTTTAGGAAAAACACTCTTCCTTTCTTTTTAAGTGGATATTTGCCCAAGAAATTCTTGAAAGTTTTCRTATAAGAAGGGTAGTAAAAAAGCTTATTTCAGGAACTGTTTTGGAGAACATACCAGCTCTTATTCCAAAGAATATGCTGCCTCACTAGCATATGTTTTATAACTTCACTAGAGTAATTTTCAAGATGGTAGTGTGGATCTTACACTTCTGTGAACTTGTTAGCTATATTTTTCCAACTCTTTAACTCCCCTGCCAAAGCAGCATTTGTTTCATGCAGATTTATACATCATGCTTCCAACT